GAATAACATCGGGTCTCGAAATGGAGTACACTATGCTATCGTCAACATATGCTGCCTTGAGTCGTTCAATGTTGACCGTATCGATGCGAACATGTCGATCAACCTTGAAGAACCTTTCGTGACGCGAAATAACTCGGAAAGGTCCTTCGTAAGGCTGCTGTAACGGTTTACGTACCGCATCGATTCGAATGAATACGTGCAAACAGGTTATGAGTTCAGTGGGTATGAACACCTTTCGTTGCTGTGTTCTAGTATTTGCCGGAGACAAGGCTTGCATAAACGTAGACAAAGGTTGCACCTAGTCATGTAGTGATCATGATTGTACGAAGAAAAGGAGCAATCCACGAGAACGTTTTCCGTCCATGTTTTCTTCAGTTCTGTTCATTTCAGTTTAGTTTGCACAGGAAGGAAGTGGTTGAGATCAATTGTGCGTCCAGATCGTTGTGTTTTCAGCAGGTTTCCTTGGCTTTTAACACTGGTCGTCAAAAGTTGGTTCTGCTTTTTTCTGGAAAGCTAAATATTTAGATGCAGTATATCATCAACCAGATATGTGAAACTGGTACGCATCAATATAGGAACGACTGACCTTTTTCCTTTATCGTCCCTCCAGTGGCCAGCTCCGGGAATACCACGTCTCAGCACAGTTCTAAGGCCTTTTTGAAGGCCACAACTGTTGAGCAGCTTATGACAACACCTTTTCATATTCCATTGCTCGGAGCGAAGCGAGGAACAAAGAGTTACAATAAGAAAGTGAGCACAAAGAACAAGAAAGGAGTCACTAAGTCACAAAACCCTAATGCACAGTTTGTAAGGGCAACAACGACGGAATAATATAAGAAGAAATTTCAGTTTCGTATCCGAACGGAGAATTTTCCACAGATTGATTGCAAGGAGGTCGAATACTGTTACGGCCGCCCGCTGAAACTGTTTTATATGCGTACCGTTCAATCGAACGCCTCGTGATCCCGCAAATCGTACGTTTCTCTACCACAAACCCAACGACTGCCTGAAACGTCGAACAATATAAGAACACAAGGAACACCGATCAACAGCAGAATCACGTGTAATAAGGTATCTGAAGTATACAATGATACAATAAATTTCATATACATACTTGACCGTGATCCTCAATAGGCGGACCGTACAACGGTGAACGAACAAGTGTTATTGCTCAACCGAGCGGTATCAAACGAAAATCGAAACTGTTGTTGTTTCACAGAAATAATAATTAATGGTACAGATAAACAAAGATCAGATTAAAGAGAGAAGAGGGAATACCACTCACAAGAATCTATCCATCGTCAAAATGTTGTTTCCATCATCCTTTACGGTGTTTCAACCGCCGTAACACTAAGTACGATTTTTTTTGTTGCTCGCACTATGAATTCTCCCTTCGCCCATAACTTCTCCGTTGGCTCCAGTGGTTGTATCCAAACCGTGTCTCCTGATCTGAGTGAGCTCAGAGATTTATTACCGCTTCTGTAGCGCCATGCGTTTCCTTAGCCTTGTCTTTATGCTTATTGATGGCGTAGTTTGTGGCTGTAGTAACTGGTTGCAAATGGGTAGAACCGTGCGTGTGCGTCTGCCAAATAAACGTTGGCTTGGGCTGGTTCCCATGTTGGCCGACAGTATGTTCCGTAACTCGAGCAGAGCTATTAGTGGGTCGCCACCATCGCACCGCACTTTTTGATAAGCTTCTTTGCTTGTTCGACTGCGCTTCCTGCTTTGCCATTGGACTGACTATGATAGGGGCTAGTAACGTGGTGCTCAAAACGCCATTGTTCACTGAATTTCCGGAATTCGGTACTACGAAATTGGGGGCCACCATCGGAAATCACCTGAAGTGGTATTCCGTGTCGTGCGAAATGAAAGCGCAGTTCATCAACGATCTCCGTCGATGTGCTGAATTGCAGTAAATCAACTTCGAAAAAGTCGCTGTAGTAGTCAACATTTATAAAGTAGGTGTCCTTTCCGTGATAAAAAATATCCAGCGCTATCATCTGTCGTGGTCACTCTGGTATTGTACGCATATTCATCGGTTCCTTCGTTTGTCGCTGGTCAAACTTCATGCATATTTCACATTTAGCAATCAACTGTTTTATCTGTTCTGACATACCCGGCCAATAATATGTCTCCTTGGCGCGACTGAGTCATCCGTTGGTACTGGCGTGAGAGCAATGTAGCAAACGCACTACGTTTTGTTGAATCGCTTTTGGTGCGACCAACCTTTCACCACAAAAAATCAGTTCATCGTCCACAGTTCGTTCATCTCGGAATTCGAAGTAGGGTAGTAGTCCATCGGAAGGGCTTTTTGCTTTCTGGCCAACTACGAGTGATAACTCCTTTGAGTTCTTGCCAGCTCGGATCGTCAATATTTGCAGTTCGTATGTGATAAATCTCGAACTGCGTCACCGCCAATGCAACGTTCACGGATTCCAGCTTTTGTTTCTGTCGTGTATCGGGTAGTGTGGCCCATGACAACGTGTCCGCCACAAAAATGCGTTTACCTTGCTTGTAATGCAGTTCATAATTGTATTTCTGTAGACGTATTAGCATCGATTGTAACATCCTTGGTGCTCTGTGGAGTGGCTTATCCACAATCATGATTAGTGGTTTGTGATCTGAGTATAAATGCGTGAGTCGACCAAATGTGTAATCATTGAACTTCTCCAGCGCATACACAATTGCTAGCATTTCTTTCTCGATCTGGGCGTCCCTTTGTTTACAGACCGTTAGTGTCTACTCCGGGATTCTAATGGACAGCCATTTTTAAGGAGCACGGCACCTAAGCCAAATTGACTGCTGACACATTGTATGCACAGAGGTGCATTGAGATCAAAGTAAGCCAGCACTGGGGCTTTTACAATAAGTTGCTTCATGCGATCAAAAGCCGTCTATTGTTTTTGTGTCCAAAACCACAGTTCTCCTTTATGCGTCAAATGTCGAATCGGCCGCATCAATTCCGATACTTCTGGGAGAAATCTACTGAGATAGTTTCTCATTCCATTGATACGCCTTTTGCATTGGTTGAGGGAGGCATTTCTACAATCGCTTTTACCTTTTCCGGGTCCGGTTTGATCCCCTCACTTGTAAGTAAGTGACCGTGAAAGCTGAATTCCGATTGACAAAAGATTAGTTTGTCCTGTTTCAGATTGATTCCGTCTTTTATACAACGCAGTAAAAAGCCTTCCAACCGTCTGTTGTGTTCATCTGCATTTTTGCCAAAACTTAGAATGTCGTCCGCCACGCAAAATACACCGGGTAAATCATCTACCGCTTGGAGGATTCGTTTCGAAAAATTTCACTTGATACTTTCAAACCGAACGGCAGCCTTTTCCAACGATATCGCCCGAGTGGCGTGCCAAAAGTGGTCAAGAAGCTTGATCTATCGTCTAGCTCTAAATGCCAAAATGCAGAGGCTAAATTCACCTTCGTGAAGTATCTTGCATTAGCTAATTCCGGCAGTATATCGTCAACAATGGGTACGGTGAAGTGCTCCCATCTTAATGCTTTGTTTAATGGTTTCGGATCGACACATATTCTCAATTCTCCAGACTTTTTCGTCACCACCACAATCTGACTCACCCAGTCCGTTGGTTTATCGACTTTCTCCAAAACGCCCTTTGTGATAAGGTTATTCACTTCGCGAGAAAATTCCTCTCTAACAGCAAGTGGGGTCCGCCGAGTTGGTAAAACAAGGGGTTCGGCTGCATCGATTATGTGAAGTGTCAGGGTTCTTGGCAACTTTCCCAGTCTTCCATCAAAAACAGAGGCATACTTTTTCAGGTAGTATTCACTTTCTTTACAAACGTGATGAACAAATGAATCATAGTTAAACGATATCAAACCCAGTCGCTCAAAGGACTCGTATTCAAGAATTGTAACATAACCCGGCTACACGACGACAAAACTCACGACAGAAGAGACTCCGTTTCTAGGATTCTTCAGTGTAATAGTAGTTTCTCCTCGCGGCTCCACGTTTGCACCTTTCCACATAACTAATCTCCTCTGGGTAGGGTCCAATTTGGTATCAGGTAGGCAATTTCTCGGTATTATGTTGACGGACGCACCAGAATCTAGTTGAAACGGTACTTCTTCCCCATTCACCAACATTTTCGCGAATATGCCTTTCCGTTGGGCCGGTAGTTGTACAACATTGACACGATCAGCTGCTCGAACGTGAGGTTCTGAAGTTGATTTTTCTTCCCGAAAAACTTCACTGCAAAATGATTACGCTTTTTGCAGTTATCACACGTTTTCCCCAAGCAGGACAATTGTTTCTTCCCATAAGATGTATGTGGCCACAGAAATGGCAAGCAGCTGTTGGATGCGTTCGATTTTTAGCGGTAATTTTGCACAATCCATAATCTTCTGTCGTAATAAGCGTCCCCATATGCTTCTCTGCTGCCTCTTCACTCCGACATATGTCGATGCATTGTTTCAATGTCAGCTTTGGAATTTTTAGGATGCGCTTCACCACAGCAGAATCCCATAGGCCAACGACAATTCGATCCACTGTTAGAATCTCTTCCAGACAGGCACAGAAATTGCACGACCGAGCCAGTGATTTTAACGACAGGACAAATGCGTCGAGGGACTCACCATGCTTCTGTCTCCTCCGTTTGAAAATGTATCGTTCGTAAGTCTCGTTGGATTCGCGGAGACAATACTATTCCATCTTCGTCATCATCACCTGCCACTCTCCACGGTCCTCATGCGGACTGTTAGTGAATCCATTTATGACACGCAGAGCAGCCAGACCAATCGTACGTACCAATTGTACGGGACTGGATTCGCGGTCCATCGCTGTCAGTGTACGAAAATCTCCATACTGTGTTCGCCACAGTCTCCCGTTATCAGCCAATCTCCCCGTCTCCTCCATAGTCAGATGCGCCGACGGTTGGACCTGCAGTCGACTATTTGTTCTCTCCGATATTGGGAATTTACCATCATTTTCCGTTGCCACCATTTTAACTCCCAAAAAGATCAACGAGCGACGCGTAGCCGAAATTGGATCCCAGAGCGTCAACAAAACGAACGATCCGGCAAATTTCGACGGTACTGCATTATTAAACGATCGAATAAGCAAATAAAATCTGTACAAACCTCAAAGTGATCTCGAAACAACTTGAAAACAAGAGCCAAGTGTTACTGTGAGCGTAATTCAACAAATCTGAATGAAAGAAAATGAGCCTGGGTAAGAATAGCACGCTCACCGTCACGCTGCACATGAACGAGCCAAATGTGAGCGCTCAAGTCGCGATTAAAACAAGTAGGATAAAAATTGAAGCAGGTAAACAAACAAATTCAAATGGTAGGATTGGTGTGTAAATATACAAGGGGAGTGGAACGTCAAATGTCTGTATGTATGTGAGACGGATGAGGTTTGGTGAATGGAACGTAAAATTCACGAAATGTGGAACCGAGATGGAATGAATGGGCTTTACAGGAAGGATTTTCACAGATCGATCAATACAACCATGTCAAAAGTTAGTTCTTCAGGAAATGCTCTCGATATATTTTCTCTAGTTCACTGGACACGAATCACATTTGGTAAGGGAATCATAGGCGTTTATATATAACCCTTAACGAATCAGATTGTTCGACGGACAAAATCAAAGTCTTCCGCGGACCAATCATAAAATTACAATGGATGCAGTAAAACAAACGACAAATTCAAACAAGACTTTCCAACACCATGATTTCCATGGTGACATCCAATACAATGAATCTAGTTCATGTTGGACTGACGCAAAACAGTCCACTCATACCAACGATTCTGTCAGTCCATGCCTTGCAGCACGAACACACGCTAACGATTGCCTGCTCTTCAAACTCGGTTCCTGAATCGAAAGCTTTTGCTTGCTTTCTTGCGGGGGCTGCTGTAGTGACCATGATTGTACGAAGAAAAGGAGCAATCCACGAGGACGTTTTCCGTTCATATTGTCTTCAAAATCAACTCTGACTCGAACTGTGATAGTTCTTTGTTTTACTTCTGCTTGTTTTACTGAGCACGGTTTTCCGCTCAGGTGTATATATAAGCTGAGTCCTGTTCAAACCCACGCGACACGTGTGACACGCTTTCGCTTTGCTACTGCATTTATTGCTTGCTTTGTTTAGCGTCACCTCGGCACGTTTCGGTACTATCTAGTACCACGATCCGCCAATAAGCATTTACGACTTCCACGAGTGTTTTTCTCTACTTCGGGCAACGAGACGCTAGGAGGTCGCGCGAACTTTGAGACTCGTAATAAGACTTACAGGCAAACCGTCAACTCCGGTTAGCCTCACATTCGGTGAATTCTTGAATGTCTAGCCGGCAGATATCCTGCTCAACTTTCGTCAGTCCGTGTACTGCACACATACGCACACCACCGTTTTGACTGCGATCTGCCGGTCCCCTAAATACCCAACCCAACGGAGTACGATCTTCTTATGGGTCCTCTTTCTCTCCTTGTCTTTGTTCCAGTATCCAATGTGCTTCGGGTACATTCAAACCAATGAGAACACCAACTATGGGAAAGTTCGTTTTGGGAAAGTCTACTCGCTTTAAGCGTTCCAGCACCCGGTGTTTATGCATGACTCTCGAGTACAGACGCGACGGTGTATACCTTTTGGACGTCTATTCCTGAGGCACCATCCAAGGACTTTACCGTAAAGGTTAAACTAGAACACCTTTTGCGGGTATTTCCTAACGGCGTATTCAGAAAAATGTCCTCTTGTCCTCTTGTTTACTCTTTGGACCCAATTGATCGGTTAGGTCCTCTCGTATTAGAGAAGTGTCGGCTCCTGTGTCTAACAGGGCGTTAGCTATTGAAGACCCAGTAGGACCCTCAACAATTCTTGGGATGATTCTCAAACTCACTCCATAACCGTCAAAAAACAGCTGACACGAAGCCCTATAAACTCTTGGCACCTTTTTCTCTTAGTGCAGCAACACTTCTCAACCCGGTGCCCTGGTTGGAGATACCAAAACCACAACCTGTTTTTAGAAACCCTCAACCAACGATCTTGTGCAGACAAATTTTGAAACTCTTGATAATCGTCCACAAAGTGGTTTAGTTCACAAATGACACATGCGCTATTGTTGGACACATGCAAAAATCTTCTTTTGCGTAACAACTCTGTTGTTAGTGTCAGTCAGAGATCTACAATCTTGCAATAAATAACTATGGCGATTCCGATCCAGTCGGGCTTCAGCAGAAACGGAATCACAAAAGTCACGGAACGATGGTTCACGGTTAACTTGATATATTTCTTCGGCTCGCTTAACCCATTCGATCGTCATGAAGCGTGGCAGTTTAGCTAGAACCCGCTCAATCGTAGTAACCGAACTTAAATCGGCGACATAACCTAGTTGTTCCAACGCATCCGCACAGTTAACCAGTTTGTCGGAATACACGGACAGCTCATCGGCATTTGGTTGCACTAATCCATGTCTGGCGACAGTCTCTAAGAAGGCTCTTACTAACACTGCCTCTGGCCAAACCGTTCTTCTAATACCTTTCTAGCTCTTTTATAGCCCTCCGTAGTATGATATAACAAACAGCCTTGAATAGTCTCTCTTTCCCTTGACAATAGTGGGAAAGGTAAGTGAGCTTCTGGCTTTCGTCAGACACCCGACTTGCGATACGGTCGTCGAACTGCCTGAAGAATGGAATGTACTGTGTGGGTGATCCATCAAAATAAGGGATTTCACACCTAGGCAGCTCAAGTTGGTTAAGTAAGAGATCGATCCTGCCCAATTTATGGTCTGAGACATCAGTGAGTCTGGGTGTATCCCCCAATTCTATAGCTGTATTACGAACATTCTCAGGTGTAACGCTATCACTATTACACCCACTAGCCATTCAGTACACTGGTCAAGCTACATAGCTGATCAGTGGAACAGAAAATGTTCTGGTGAAAACCTACACAAGGTTTGTCACCCATAATCGTTAACATTTTAACTGCTTC